CACACACATACACACAAATTTCTCTCAGACGTGGTAGCCGGCGAGGACTGTGGCTAACGAACTTGAACACAAATACGCCCATATGTAGTAGTGTATGTAATACGTATATGCATATTCACCTGCCTTTTTTTATTTGGTCACTGATTCTGTATTCGTAGCGCATCCTCCGCCTGGTGCGCACACCTCCCTCCCCCTATCTATTCTCCGTGCCTGTATGCTGCTGCTTCTCTTAATGAGAATATTCTATGCACCTCAGTCAGGGGCGCGTGAAGCGGAGGAGGAGGAGGACGAGGAAGTGAAGCAGCAAATCTCCCTGCCGCCTGTGTCCATCGCAGACCTCCCCCCCTTCTCTCTCTCACACACACACGCATCACACCCTCCCCATTGTTATCATCTGACTCTCTTTTTCGTCATCTATCGCCCCTCCCCTCTGTGCAATAGCCAGCGCTGCTGCTGCTGCNGAAGTGAAGCAGCAAATCTCCCTGCCGCCTGTGTCCATCGCAGACCTCCCCCCCTTCTCTCTCTCTCACACACACACGCATCACACCCTCCCCATTGTTATCATCTGACTCTCTTTTTCGTCATCTATCGCCCCTCCCCTCTGTGCAATAGCCAGCGCTGCTGCTGCTGCTGCTGCTGTTTCTGGTGGCGTTGGCGCAAATGACTCTCTTATTAGTGTGCCTCGTCCACCGTCACAGTCAGAAGCGGCCGCTGGTCAATCAAATCGAAGAACCGTCGTGTCTGCTCCGCCCACGCGTCCGCCTTCATCTGACGCTGCGACAGCTCCAGTCGCCGCTGGCTGTGTGGGGTCAACGACGGTGCGACCTCCACGGTGTCCGTGGCGGACAACACCACCGGCGGTGCGTGCTGCGCAAAGGACAAGGGCCGACGTGCCAGCGACAGCCGCGCCACATCGTCGTCATTGTTTTCATGCAAGCTTCCGTCCGCCTCACCCACCTCCTCCTCCAATGCGGCCCACAGCGGTGTGCTGGGGCTCGGCAGCGTGTAGCCCGGCCGCACGGACAACCCGCGTGACTCCGTCGGCGGATCGGTCGGCTGCAGCAAAAACGGCCGCATATGACTCGCAGGCGTCGGCGTCACCACCGGAATCGACACACGTGCAGCCATCGGCGAGGGCGTCTGCTGTGTCGCCCCTACTGCCACTGTGGTGGCGACAGTGCCGCTTCTGCGGCCGACCTCGTGGAGGGAAAGGCGCCGACGCACAGCCGCCGGCGATGACGCATCGCCCCAACTCATTGGACGCGGCGCACGCGTCAGAACGGTTGACGGCGTCACATCATGCTCCGCCCCCTCCTCGCCCCACACAAGGTCAATAGACACCTCTCGGCTCTGCCGCTTCCGCTGCTGCTGCGTTTGGCTGTCAGATGTCAAGGGTGTGGCACACACCGCGGTGCTGTGCAGCGGTGTGGATGTCAGAGTGGTTGCCGTGAGACCGCCGACCGCCTGTGTGTCACTGCTGCTGCTGGTGCTGCTGTTATGGACGCCAGCCGCAGTGGGCTTCGGCGCCTCCTCACGTCGTGCCGCCCAGCTGCGTCGCGTGACGGTCAGGGCGACACGCTCCAGCGCATCATCGCTGTCGTCGCCACTCGCAGAGCGGCGGCCCGTTTTGCTCATCGTGCGGGATGGCGCGCCGCACCTCTCTCCTCTAAATTTTCTCTGCTCTACGCACTGCTGTATCGCTGCCGCTGGCGATGCGTTCATGCAACAATTGGAAAGCGCAAAGAAGACACACACACACACACACACACGCACACAGAGAGACACAAAACGAAAAGAATAAAAAAAGGACATGGTAGCGGGAAAATTCCGTGTGCCCCACACCTCAGTGACACTGGCAATTGCCACCGCACGCAATGGACACACAGACTCAATCCTCCTTATACGTCTCATATCATTACAAGCACTTGTTAACTTCCACCTCACCTGTTTTCGCTTAACGAGACCCCCACCAGATGAAGCCCTCTTCCCCAATATAACACCACCCGTCAACCTCGCCCTCTTCCACGACTGCCGCCACGCCCCCTTCCGCGCATGCCACCGCGCTCGTACCGCTGCTGCTGGTGCTCGCCACGGTGCTGCAGCCCGCCCCTCCCGTCCCCTTCATGGCGTGGCCTCTTCTTGTACGGCACGCCACGCTGTTGCTCCTCATCGCGTGACGCTGCAGCAGCGGCCTCCACGTCGTTGTTGTTGTTGTCATCTTCGTCGCCGCCGACAGCCTCGCGGAGGCGGCGGAGACCCCCGTGCACCTGCTCCGCCCACTTGCGCCCTTCCTCCTCCGTCATGCCAGTGTCCACTAGCGCCGTCTTGGAGACGTCGCCGTAGCGGCGCGAGCTGCGCGTCGGCTCCACCTCGCGGAAGCCCTGCTGCCGCCGCCGCTGTGTCTTCATACGGTCGCGCCGGTTCGCCTCCGTGCCGAGGTAGGCGGCGTAGCAGCTCATCGGCACAAGCATGTTGAGCTGGCGGTCGTCGCGCGAGAGGATCTCCTCAACGGAGAGCGTGAAGTCCTCCGGCGCAACCTCGCGGTACTTGAAGCGCGTCTTGAGCGTCCCGCCGCCCAGCGTGGAGTCGTGGTGCAGCTGCCAGTACTCCTGCTCCTTCTGCGCCAGCTCCGCCTGCAGCTGCTCCAGCGTGCCGCTGTTGTCGCCATCGCCGTCCTTCCTTTGCTGCTGCTGCTGGATCATGTGCTCCAGCTGCTCGCGGCGGCCCTCGAAGGAGGCGGACTCCGCCGCCCGTATCGCAGCCGACGGGTACAGCAGCGCCAGCGCGTCGTCGTTGAAGACGTCGCCCCCCACGTGATGGCCCTCTTGCTGCGGCTGCTTCTTTCCCGACAGCTCATTCTTCTTCACCTCTCTGTTCTTGCTGGCGGCTGTCATTGCCCTGGCCTCCTCTAGCGAGCCAGCCGTGTACAACGCAGGGACGTCCTCTTCCTCTTCCTCGCCCCCTTCGCTCTTCGCACCGTCCTCCTCACCAGCATCCTCTTCGTCTTCGAAGAAGGCCATTTCCTCCTCATCCACGTTCTTCTCATTGTAGTAGGCGTCATCGAAGAGCTCCGCCATCTTCTTGTCGAACTTCTGCGGGTCGTAGTCCTCCTCGAGGTCCTTCTCACTCCACAGCGCCTGCAGCCGCGCCACCTCCGCATCCTCTTCCGCCTCCGCCGTCATCTTATTCCCCTTCTTCTTCTTCTTGCTGCTGTTGCTGCTCTTTGTGATGCCGGCGACAGAGGCGATGAGGGAACGCTGCGCCTCGATCTCCTGCCGCTTCAACGTCTTCAGCCGCCGCAGCTCCGCCACCTGCTGCGCCCGTAGCTCCTCCATGCGCTGCAGCCGCCGCAGCCGTGCTTCCTTCCGCGACGACGTGGCGCTCTTGCGCAGCAGCCCCTCCGCATGCTCGCCAATGGCACGCGGGAAGGACTGCACATGATCGGCCGCCTCCTCCTGGTGGCGGTACGCGCGATCCTGGAACTCGCGCTCCCACACCTCGGCGTCAGCGTAGAAGCGCTCATCCGCCTCCGCCTGCGCCAGCTCCGCCAGCGCCGCGTAGTTGTCCCCTTCCGCATCCTCGCCATCGCCGTTGCCGCTGCCGCTATTGCTGCCCTCATCGCCAGACTCCTGGGCTTCCGTCGTCTTGGACGACTTCTGCTTCGCCTTGCGCTTCTTGGCGTTCTCCGGCTTCCACAACTCCTCCACAAAGAAGTCGCGGAGGAAAGCCTCGTCGGGGTCCGCCTCATCCGCATCTGCCTCAGGAGCATTAGCGGTGGTCTCCGCGTTGCGAATAGAGAAGGCGCCCACCAACAACCGCTTCGCCTCACTCAGCGCTGCACTCGACCCACCTTGTTGTTGATTGGAGGTGCCGGCGGCGGGCTGCACGTCAAATGTCTCGGTGCTCTCCGCGACGCTCTGAAGAAAGGAGTCGCGCAGTCGGCGCTCCTTCGCGGACTGCGGCTGAATGCGGCGGTTTCCCTGCGGGGCCTGACCGTCACCGTCGTCGTTAATGCTGCCCTCCACTCCAGTGATGACGCCGCGGGAGTACTCATCCGCGAGGGTAAACTTCTTGCGCTGCTGTCGCTTCATCTCCACGGCCCGCATGAAGACCTCCGCGTTCTCCCGCTCCTGCTCCTCTGGCGGCGGGAAGAAGGCGGACGGCGCCCCCAGCGGATCACCGTCGTTGCTGTCGCTCTTCTTGGCGTCCCCGCCGCCCTTGGTCGTTGGTGGTGCTGACGTGCTCACCTCCTCCTGCTGCCGCTTCTTCTTGGCGGCCTGACGGATGGCAAGGAACGCCTTGGCGAAGGATAGTTCTTTGCTCTCCGTCAGCAGCAGTGCCTCATCGTCTTCCTCGTCCTCCTCGTCCTCATCGCTGTCGTGGCGGATGCGGCCACCGTACTTCTGCGTGAGCAGCTGCAGCTCCTTGCGCCGCTTTACCTCCTCGTACTTGGCAGCGTACTGCTTGTTGATGTGAATACCATCCTTATCCTCGTTCTTCTTCTCCTCCTCCACCTCCTCTTCCCTGCTCTTCTTGCCGCCCGCCTTCTTCTTACCCGTGAAAGCCACCTTCGCCTCAGCCTTCTGCGAGGTAATCGTCTCCTCCTCATCGTCACTGCTGCTGCTTGTTAGGGCCTCTTCGCGTGCAGCAACAGCAGCAGCAGCAGCAGCGGCGAGTGTCTTTTCCTTCTTCCGCAAGCCAGCGAACGGGGCGTACGCGTGTGGGTCGCGGCGCTGCTCGCGTGCTGCTGCTGTTGCCATCTGCCGCGCCAGCTCGCCCCCGTCGTCCTCGTCCTCGGAGGAGGAGCTTGCGAAGAGATCCCGCTTGGGCATTTCACAGCCTTTCCCTTCCCTATACCGAAGGAGCGTGCTTCGGTGCGTACACGCCGGGCGAACCAACAGAGGAACCGAAGAAGAACAAGAACAAAAGAGGATATCGACATGTGCCACAAGGCGGCGATGGTGGTAGTAGCAATAATAATAGCAGTGATGCCATCAATAATGCATTGCACGCGCGCAATTGCATGCCTGCGTGCGTCGGTGATGTCTAGCACACGACGCCGCTTCTTCCTCCTGCTGCCGCTGTTGCCGCAGGGGATATTTGTGCTTCTCTCTTTCATTTCTATTGGTGGTGGTCTCCTGCGGGAATGCAAAGGGGGGCCCCCCGCGGGGACCGTCGTGCTCTCACTCCTTCTCATTCTCCTGCTCAAGCGCTCACTCCCTACGCAGCCGCACCCACACCGCCATATAGAAGCCGAGCAGCTTATCGATCGCGGTGAAGTGCATCGCCCAGAAGAGTGGCGAGAGCGACGCGGTGCTACGCACCATGAGCTCCGCACTCTCTAACGCGGAGGCCCGGCTCCCAAAGCCACCCACATCCATGTTGTTGTCGCTGCTGCTGCTGCTGCTGCTGCTGCTGCGGTTCTGCTCCGCGCGCTGCACGAGCTCACGTATGGCGGCGTCCTGTGCGGAGCAGCCGCGGATGCTGCTGCCAACCATACTCACCTCGTGCCCAATGAAGGCGCCAATGCTGCGCAGCACCTCAACCGCCGGCACGCCGCTGCTCTGCTTCACCCCCGCATCGCTGCTGCGCCGGAGGAGCTGCAGGAACAGGCGCCACGTGAGCGGCACCGCAGGGGCGTCGTCGTACTCCTCAAGGAGTCCAGTGGCGTGCAGCACCGCGCGGCTGTACAGCATGTGAGCCAGCACCGTCAGCGGGTGCTGCACGAGGCACTGTGCGATGAGAGCGGCCGCCACACGGTACATGAGGGCACGCATAATAAGCCGGTGCTCTGCCTCTGCCGCCCGCTCCGCCTCCTGCTTTTCTGCGCGGCGGCGGCGGCGTTCCCTGTCTTCTTCTGACATTTTTGTTTTTGCTGTTGCTGCTGCACCAGCAGTCGCCGTGCGGCTGCCGTGCTTCTGCAGCGCCCTCTCCGCCTTGCTGCTGGTGCTGATGTTGCTGGTGTCGTTGTCGCCGCGCGCGGGCACCGTGCTGCGGTGGCTGTGCGCCGACAGGCGGCTGCTATTCGGGTCCCGCCCATCGCCGTTGTCGTCGTCGATGTTGTGGTCTTCATGGTCGCCCATCTCACTGACGTTGCGGCTATTGGTGGTGCTGCCGGCGCCATGCAGCAAGGCGCGTCGCGCGTAGCGGCGCAGCAGCACGTACTCCGTGCCGTCCACAATGCGCACCACCGCCCGCTGGCACATCTGTGACGCGAGCGGCACAACAAGCATCTCCAGCACCACGCCTGCGAAGCCAACAGCAACGCCGCGGCACACGCCCGCCGGCGTGTAGCGCAGCGGCCCCGTCACCGGCGACAAGTCCCGCACGCGGTTCAGCAGCACTGGCGTCAGCACACTAAACGCCACGGGGTCCGTCACGGTGTGCGAGGTGAGCGTCATGGCCCACGCAGAGACGTTGCGCCACGTGCGGCGGCTGCGCAGGCTGCGCACCACCAGGTTCGTCTCCAGAAAGGCGCGCTCCATCAGGTAGTGCTTACCCACACTAAGCAGCACGCGCGTCACCACAAAGGCGAGCACAAAGTCCGGCGCAAACAATGCCGCCTCGTTGAGGCACACAAGACGCTTCGCAGTGCCGCTGAGATCGCGAAAACGCAGCAGCGGCAGCGTCACCGCATCCGTCTTTAGTTGACACAAAAAATGCAGCAGCATAACAGGGGTGGAACGCAGGACGTGTAGCAGTAGTACCGCCTGCTTTGTCACGTCAAAGGAGCGCCAGTCCTTCCAACTCTTCGCACCCTCCTTGTTGCTCCGCTTCTCGCGGTTGCTGCGTCGGCTGCCCCCACTGCTGCTGCGGTGGCGGTGTGGCACTTGCGGCGGCAACTCCCCGCTCACCAACGCCGACGCGTTGAGACTCGTGTTGGCCGACGCCGTGCGGCTGCTTGGGCGACTCGAGCGATGATGTGAGCGGCCCCGGTGGTGCGGTTGCTGCTCCACCTCTGACCCACGCGAAGACCTCTTCACACGCTTGCGGACGAGTGTCTCAGGGCTGAAGGAGCGCACAGTGACCGCGAGTACATCATACAGCAGCCGTGCGAGGTTGATGGGGTGCATGACGTCATTGTACAACATGGCTCCCACACACACCGACAGACAGTGGGAGAGCGAGGGAGAGACCCCTTCTGGATTTGCAGCAGCTCCCAGACTACTTCTAATGCTCTATGATGCTATGCCTGCGCACAGTTAAAGCGAGAGAGGGCGACACGGGGGCACACACACACACACACACACACCGCAGCGGCGCAGCCAACGGTCTTCGCCCACTCGCTCCGCCTTTCCTAATAGCAACAGTGAGAAACAACAACAACAACAACAACAAGATCAAGCACAAGCGAGGACAAGGGGTTGTATCAGACAACAACAACAACAACTCTCTCTCTCTCTCTCATTCTCACACGCGCAGAACGTCGCCACCCGCGCCGTTATCCTTCAACCGCCCACCACCGCTGTGATGCGCTGCCCGTTGATACACGCCCCGTCCAGCACCGCCACCGCCGCCTCCACGCCGCCGTCTTGCGGCAGCTCCAACACCACCACGCCACCGGCCCCACCAACGTCGTGGAGCCTCAAGTGGAGACAACCTTCGGCCGCAGTTCCCGAAGCAGGCGCGGTGGACATCGACTCCGGCATATTTTCCGCACGGGCTGCGGCGTTGTCGCGGAGGGTCTGCCGCAGCTCCTCAGCAGGGCGGAAGACACTCAACGGCCGCCGCCCCACGAGCTGCTCCAGCATGGAATTCAAGTGGCACGGTTGCACGCTCAAGTCGACGCCGTACAGCACCACGCGGCTGGAGGGCAAGAGGGAGGCGGCGGCATTGCCATGCGACAACAACGACGGCCTCTGCTGTGACACGTCGTTCGTGCCATCGCCCTTGCTGCCGCGGCGATGACACCGGTACGCCTCGAGCTGCTGGTCCAGCGCGGACAGCAGTTGTCGCTGCTTCTGGTGTTGTTGTTGTTCTTCTTGTTGTTGTTGTTGTTGTTGGTGCGTCTCGCGTTTATGCCGGGGCTCCCTCCGAGGACGCGAGTGTCGTTCCGAAGAAGAAAGGGACGAGGAGCGATGACGTCGGCGGCAATGCGACGACTCACGGCGTTGTCGTTTGTGACGGTGACGACGACCCTCACGGCTGCTGTCGTCATTGTTGTTATTGTTGTAGCTGCCACCGGGGGCACCATCGTGGTCAGACACACTCGCGTTGCCATCACTGCTGTAGCCGTCTTCGTGCCGCCGGCGCATGTGCGCGTCACGACGATCACGGCTTCCCTCGCGGCGCCAGCCATGGCGATTATAGTGCCTGCCAACCGCGCCGTTGCTACTCCTGCCACCGTGGTAGTCGATTCTGCGGTGTGGGCCGCGGTGGTGGCGCCCATCTCTGTCCCCGCTGCCACCATCATCGTCGGCAAGGCCGTTGTCGCGGTAACTCCGGCGATGGGGCGACCGCCCACCTCTGCCACCCCACTGCTGCTGCTGCTGCTGCTGGTAGTGGGACTTGTGCTTCTCTGCAGGCATGATGCTGCCTCTCTCCCCTCCCTCTCTCTCTCTCTCTCAACTAGATAACAGCCGTGCGCCCACTACCGATCCACACCAATGCCGTGCTGCCGCTTCCTGCTCTTTACGGTGGCCTCTTGCCTGAGAGGAGACGCCCACACCAATTGAGCCCCATCAGGAGACCAACAACAACAACAAAAAAGAGAGAATGGGTGTGTGTGAAGGGGAAAGCGATAAGCAAAAAGAACCAGGAGCGGCATACAGAGATGGCGTAAGCATCAGACCCACCCACACCACCGATCCGAACGGTACGACTCATAACGGGGGCTTATATGACGAAAATCGCTTCATCCTCTATTTGTTCCCCTTGAGGGGGAAAACATATAAGATGACGCGCCCCTCGGGTTTGGAGGAGGGCACCGGTGTTGGGGCCGTGTACCCCGCCGCCAACCAGGGCAGTAATATGCACGTGCCGAAGAATATATAGCAAGAACAGTAACCACACACACACACACACACACACATAGACACAGACACACAGACAGACAGACAGGAAAAAAAAGTGAAACCTTTCGCAACTAAACCATGCAGATATCGCAACTTCATACCCCGTCTCCCCCCCCCCTTCTTCGTTTCTGTTTAGAACCACCCCCTTTACTCCTTCACCCGATTTTCTCTTTATTCACTCCCACCACCACCGCCACCACCAACCCCTCGCTCGCTCGCTCACTTCTTGAGGGCAGCCGGGCCGACCTTCGCCTTGGCGTTCATCACCGCCGGGCGTGCAAAGCGCGGCGCCACCTTCACTGGCATCGTCTGCGTGTAACTCGTCTTGTCGCCGTCCGCGTCACCGGTCGCGATGATGTCCTGCTGAATCGCGTCGATCTCCTCCTGCATAATGCGCAGTTGCTCCTCGTCTTCGTCAGCACCGCCGTCATCGTACTCGCCGATGGGCTGCTGCTGCGCCCCGTCCGTCGGCATCGTCTCCTCCGTCGTCGGCGTCGTCGACTTGCCGCCGTGGCGCTTGCTCTGTTTCCGGATACCAAACATATTCCGGAAGTTGCGGCGCTTCTTCGTCACCTCCTCGTTGGGCACCGCCGCACTCTTCCAGCCGGCGTTGGCCTGATCCGCACTCATCTGCGTACCCGCGGGCGGCGCTTCCTTCGACACCTGCTGCTGCTGCTGCTGTTGAGGCTGCGGGGGCGGAGATGTGACGGGCCTCACGACTGCTGGCCCCGGCGGCGCGAACCCGTGATTCGTGAAGAACGGGTGCTGCAGCGCCTGTAGTGCTGTGAGCCGCTTGGAGCTGTTCTGCTCCAGCATCCTTGCGATGAGGTCCTTCGCCTCGTCGCTGACGGTGTCCCAGCCGTGTCTGGCGTTGAAGAGCACGCCGTGGTCGATGCAGTGCAGCAGCTGCCGCCGCTCCTCGCTCGTCTTCACCTGGCCGTGGAACGGCGGCCGCCCAGACAGCATCACGAAGAGTACAATGCCCGCCGACCACACGTCGACGCTCTTGACGAGCTGTTGCGTCGTGCAGAGCGGCTTCGCGCCCTGCGCCTCGATGCCACGGATCACCTCCGGCGCGATGTAGAAGGATGTGCCACACGGCGTGGACTGTACGTCCCACTCCTGCACGAGCTTTGCGAGACCGAAGTCGGCAAGCTTCACCTCAATCTTGTGCGTCGCCTCCCAGTCGCTCTCCGCAGCCGCACCGTTATTACTGCTGCTGCTGACGCTGTTATTGTTGACGCCCGCGTCGGTACTCGCGGCCTCAGCCTCACACCCGTTGTTCTGCTCCTGGCCCTTGCTGCTGCGCGTCTCGGTGATCCTGAGCAGGATGTTCTCCGGCTTGATGTCACGGTGCACAATGCACTGCGAGTGCAGGTAGCTCACGGCGCACAGCAGCTGGTGCATGATGCGCCGCGCCACCCCCTCGGGGATGCGCCTGTTACGCACAATCAGCTCGAACAGATCCACGTTCATCAGCTCGAGCGCGAAGTAAATGTGGTGCGGTGTCGTGATGGACTCATGCAGCGTGATGACGTTCGGGTGTGACGTGCGCCGCAGGATCTCGCGCTCGTGCACGACCATCGCCGCCACCTTGCCCGTCAGCACCTCCTTCTTCAGCACCTTGAGCGCACGCATCGTACCGCTGGGGCGGTGCAGCACCGCGACGACCTGCGAGAACCCGCCTTTGCCCAGCAGCGTCGCGTGCTCGACGTCGTAGAGGGCGCGGATATCGACAGACTCCACAACGGGTGTCGCAGGCACACGCATCGCAGGCGGCAGCACAGACATCGGCTTCCTTCTCCTCCTGGCTCTTGCAGTTGCAGTCGCTGCTGCTTCTATGCGATTGCTTGGCTTCTCCTTCTTCGCACTGCCCACAGACACAACACCAGCATACAGCAAAGCAACCCCATATATATATATATATAGAGAGAGAGAGAGAGAGAGAGAACGAAAAAACAAAAGAAAAAAAGAGCAAAGCGGCACATCTAATGGGCGGGGGCGCCGCCGCCGCAGCCACACCGACGAGAAGCGAAACAGCGGCCACACACACACACACGCAGACAAACCGACGCAAGTGTTCAGAGATATATTCTGTGAGCGTGACGCCGTTAGTGTGAGAGCAAACAACACACTGCATTCCCCCTCTCCAAAATACAAGAAAATGAAGAAGAAATGGCAAGTTCCTCGTCTCACACGTCACGCTGGCAGTCGCCATTCGTTCGATGATTCAATGAGTCCCAGCTTGATGCGTCCCCGGGTTTTCTCGCGCTCAAGACACCCTCCCCTCCGCCCACCCACCCAGACACACACACACACGCACGCACGCAGAGAGAGACATAGTAAAGGGGAATAAAAGATGAGCGAGTTGATAATGAGGAAACAAGGAGTGTAGGACCTCGCAAGAAGGAGAGAAGATAAACACCGTTTGTGTCAGAGGGGGTATTCTATTCTGTTACTTCTTGGCTCCCGCATCCCCATCATCAATCGTCCTCACCGTTCCTTCCGCCGCTGCCTTCGCTGGGCCACAGCCTCGTTGCATGGGCGTCTTCCCGCGTATCTCTGGCTGCTGCCTGCTGCCCCCTGTCATTGCTGCTGCTGCTGCTGCCGCTGGGCCCGCACGCGTTCCAGTCGCCGTACCCACAACACGCCGCGCGGCATACACGAGTGCCATACTGAGGGAGGGGGGTGGGGGCGAGAGGGGGAGTGACCGGAGAACCGAACAGGGACCAAGAAGGCAAAGAAAGCAAGAACAAAAACGTAAAAAAACAAACAAACAAAAAAAGAAGGCACAAAAGTTTTTTTCTGTTTTTCTTTTTTTGTCTTTCTGCTCTCTCTCTCTCTCTCTCTC